GTATCCACTGTGAAGGCCTGACACACCCGGCTTTAAGGACACTGACTGCTATTCAATCTATAACAGTGAAAAAGTTTTTCTTTTTAAATGCAAGCTATTGTGACACTAGTAGGTGAGTGGTGGCACTGGGCACAGTATCCACTGTGAGCCCTGACACACAGCTTTTGGAACACTGACTGCTATTCAATCTATAACAGTGAAAAAAGTTTTTTGTTTTTAAATGCAAGCTATTGTGACACCAGTGAGTGAGTGGTGGCACTCGGCACAGTATCCACTGTGAGCCTGACACACCCGCTTTAAGGACACTGACTGCTATTCAATCTATAACAGTGAAAAAAGTTTTTTGTTTTTAAATGCAAGCTATTGTGACACTAGTGAGTGAGTGGTGGCACAGGGCACAGTATCCACTGTGAGCCTGACACACCCGCTTTAAGGACACTGACTGCTATTCAATCTATAACAGTGAAAAAAGTTTTTTGTTTTTAAATGCAAGCTATTGTGACACCAGTGAGTGAGTGGTGGCACTGGGCACAGTATCCACTGTGAGCCTGACACACCCGCTTTAAGGACACTGACTGCTATTCAATCTATAACAGTGAAAAAAGTTTTTTGTTTTTAAATGCAAGCTATTGTGACACCAGATATGAGTGGTGGCACTGACTGGGCAAATGGGCACAGTATCAACTGTGAGCCTGACACAGAAGCTGGCAGCAGTGGCAGACAACTAACTGCAATTACATTACACAGAAAAAAACCAAAAAAAAAGCAGACTGATGTTCTAGCCATAAAAAGGGCTTTTTGGGGTGCTGTCCTTACAGCAGAGATCAGATGAGTCCTTCAGGACTGTAGTGGACACTGTATACCCTAACCTAGCTATGTATTTCCCTATCTAATCAACAGCAGCTACACTTTCCCTCCTCTCACTAAGCATGCAGCTTGAGAATGAATCTAAAATGGATGCTGTCCAGTAGGTGGGAGGGTCTGCTAGGGAGGGTGTGCTGCTAATTGGCTGGAATGTGTCTGCTGACTGTGAGGTACAGGGTCAAAGTTTACTCAATGATGGCGAATAGGGGGCGGATCGAACCGTGCATGTGTTTGCCGTCCGCGGCGGACGCGAACACGCTATGTTCGCCAGGAACTGTTCGCCGGCGAACCGTTCGGTGCATCACTAGCTCTGTGTTGAGGGTCAAGCAGTGAACAGACAGAGCTGTGGGTTTATTGTGCTTATGTACACATTCTTACACATTAGTACCACCCACAGGGTTTTGGAACACAACCAATAAACACATACAATACACTTAGACACTCCCACACAAATTCCTCCCCTCTGCATGTGATTCAATTACCTTACACAATGGGTAATGTAATTTAGCACAAGCAGAGAAATACAATTTTTCCACATTATTCATAACTTGAAAAGTATGCATCACATTCACATAAAATACATTTTCAGAATACTCCAAACACAAACATACGTCAAAATCATACAAATTGGTCCAGTGGTTCAAAAGATAGATCATAGTCCTTTGTGACCACAGGAAGCATGGCTTTTCTGCCCAAAACCAGTTCCACAGAGTCTTCTATCCAGGAGATAATTGTGAAGTAATCCTATTATCTCCAAAGACAGAGGCAAAACTCCCTTGAACACATGGCAGCAAAAAGACAGTAAAATACAATAAAATACACAAGGTTACATTTATGACGTAAAATACAGACATGCAACATATGCCCAGATAGCTTAGGTCTGAGTGCACATTATTACTGAATGGCGCTCAGAGCACACACATACAGTTCAATTTCCATGGAGCCAAAGTCTTTCCCATAGTCTTTCATTATACGAATGGGCTCCATGGCATAGCTCTCTGGGGTATCACTGCTCAAACAGGGCAAGCACCAAATGACCCGGCTTTCTTGTCTTTGCAGGGGAAAATCAAGCCTTTTAACATGGGGCCATAATCCAAAGGCAACAGGCGAGCAACCAGGCTTCTCCAATGCAATGTGGCGAGATTGGTCTCGTCACATCTCTCCACTTTTCCAAACAGACTAACAGGGTATCTGAACTCCTGCCGGTCAGTGCCCTTGTTAGTCCAGCAGCCCACCCACAAATCACAATCAACAGCACAGCCCACCCACAATAAATGGTTACTACACCTGGGTAGAGGAGAAGCTTGTCCATGTCCAGGTGTCTCACCACGGCTGTGCTGTGTACGGGTATGCTGACTTGGTGGGTTGCTGTGTGGGCAAAGACCAGCGGTACTCTGCCCTGTTGCCAGCGCTACTGGGAAGGTAGCCTGGTTGAAGCCTGGTTGTTGGAGGGGGAGACCGACTGTCTCCCCTTTAGATACACAACCCTGCTGCTGGAGACCGACTGTCTCCCCTTTAGAATCACAGCTCTGCTGCTGGAGACCGACTGTCTCCCCGTTAGACACACAGCTCTGCTGCTGGAGACCGACTGTCTCCCCTTTGGCTAAATAGCCCTGTCGCTGGGGGGCAGAACCGACCGTCCCTACCCCCTGTGCTGTACGTGCAGAGACCACGGTCCCATCTGCACAGTTGTGGGGCTTACTGTCTCCCCTTTGTACATTAAGCTGCCGCTGGGGAGAGGGGGTAACAAGCTCCTCTCCCATACATACTTCCAGCTATGGGGGAGGGAGACCGACTGTCTCTGCTCCCAATACAGAGTCCTGCTGCTGGGGAAAGGAGACTGGGCTCTCTATTCCCGGTAGGACACTCTGCCGCTGGGGAATGGAGACTGGGCTCCCAATTCCCTGTAATTCGTACTGCTGCTGGGGAATGGAGACTGGGCTCCCAATTCCCTGCAATATCTCCCGCTGGGGAATGGAGACCGGGCTCCCAATTCCCAATAAATCACCCTGCCGCTGCAATATCTCCCGCTGGGGAAAGGAGACTGGGCTCCCAATTCCCAATAAATCACACTGCCGCTGGGGATCTGAGCCGACTGCCCAGCATCCCTGTAGCTCACCCTGCCACTGGGGAGGGAGGACGCTGCTCTCCTCTCCCTGCAATTCACACGGCTGCTGGGGGACAGAAGCAACTATCTCTGTCCCCTGTAACTCAGCCTGCCGCTGGGGAATGGAGCTTGGGCTCCCGATTCCCTGCAATATCTCCCGCTGGGGAATGGAGCTCGGGCTCCCAATTCCTTGCAATATCGGTGGAGAGACCTCGGTCCCATCTCCACCCGCCACCTGGGGTTTTTCCCAGTAAATATCAACAATGTCTTCCCAGCTGATTGGGTCTGGAACTGGATCTGTCACCTTGCTGTCCTGCTGAATCTTCTCAATGGAGTGGAAGAGATCTCGGTAGTCCTGCTCCAGTTCCCACTCCAGGGTTGCTAGGTGAGCCAGGTCTTGCTCAATGTCATGAGTGTTGTCCCAGTCATACCTGCTCTCCCTCCACTCCAAGAGATCACTGAACCGGGCTTGTGTAGGGATCCCAAATTCAGGCTCTGAAAAAGCCTCCCATAACAAGCCAGGACCATCAAACTTCTCTCCCTCTGGCTTGTCATGCTCTGCTGTCCAGGGCAGGTACTGTGCCCCATACCACCAGAGCGCCTGGTAGGCATCTTCCAGCCACATCTCCTGCCGGTGCTCCAATTCCTTCACCCATTCATCCAGGGGCTGCTCTCCCAGGAAGGGCATCCGCAGGGCCACTTGCTTCTGCAACCGCTGCTCTTCACTGGGGAGACTCTTGCCGCGCTGGTATTGTACATTATCCAGGGCCTGGTACCAGATGCCTTTCCTTAATGCATCCCGGCCATCCAGGTCCTCCTCCTCGTATGACACTGCTGGTTCCATTCTGTTGCTGTCAGGGTCGCTGTACTCAGACATGCGTTGCCCTCAAATTGTAAATCCACGGAATGGTGTCGCCTGTAGCTCTCCTGTTGTCTGTGGGAACGATCCCGCCGCTTGCCACCAATTGTAACGGCACCCCCAGGCATAAAAGGGTTAAACCGCCATTTAGTAGATCTTCCCCTTCCAGAGATGCAGGCACAGCTACTGCAGAACACCAATCCGCTGAACAGGAAACCATATGAATGCTGTAAGCAGTCGAATAGGAAAAACCATACGAATAGGTTAACACTCCTAGCAGTCAAACTGGAACAGCATACAATAAATCCCCCCAAGAACGAGACAAAGCTCTATGTTGAGGGTCAAGCAGTGAACAGACAGAGCTGTGGGTTTATTGTGCTTATGTACACATTCTTACACATTAGTACCACCCACAGGGTTTTGGAACACAACCAATAAACACATACAATACACTCAGACACTCCCACACAAATTCCTCCCCTCTGCATGTGATTCAATTACCTTACACAATGGTTAATGTAATTTAGCACAAGCAGAGAAATACAATTTTTCCACATTATTCATAACTTGAAAAGTATGCATCACATTCACATAAAACTTACATTTTCAGAATCAGCATACTCCAAACACAAACGTCAAAATCATACAAATTGGTCCAGTGGTTCAAAAGATAGATCATAGTCCTTTGTGACCACAGGAAGCATGGCTTTTCTGCCCAAAGCCAGTTCCACAGAGTCTTCTATCCAGGAGATAATTGTGAAGTAATCCAATTATCTCCAAAGACAGAGGCAAAACTTCATTGAACACATGGCAGCAAAAAGTCAGTAAAATACAATAAAATACACAAGGTTACATTTGTGACGTAAAATACAGACATGCAACATATGCCCAGATAGCTTAGGTCTGAGCGCACATTAATACTGAATGGCGCTCAGAGCACACACATACAGTTCAATTGCCATGGAGCCAAAGTCTTTCCCATAGTCTTTCATTATATGTCAATGGCTCCATGGCATAGCTATCTGGGGTATCACTGCTCAAACAGGGCAAGCACCAAATGACCCAGCTTTCTTGTCTTTGCAGGGGAAAATCAAGCCTTTTAACATGGGGCCATAATCCAAAGGCAACAGGCGAGCAACCAGGCTTCTCCAATGCAATGTGGCGAGATTGGTGTGCATCAGCTTAGTCCTTGTTAGTATTTTATTTTTTAGTAAAAAAAATATATATTTTTTTTCTTTTCCTGCATTTTCTGTTTATTTATTTTATTGTTGTATAGGGCTGGATTAACTAGGTATATGTGCATTGCGAAGATCAGAGTCTTTTGTGGTATGTATATATATTTATGTGTCTATTTATATTTGAATTAAAGGAAAATAATAAAGTTTGGATGAGTCCTACAGTTGTAAGTTTTAATAAATGCTGTGGACTGTTTCATCCAATATTCGTTGCCTGTCGTTATTAAGGGGATAAGTGGGGTAGTTTCTTTACTTTTAGTCGCACCACATTCCCCACTACATACATACAGGAGAGAGGACACATGAGGTCACAGCAGTTGTGAGAACAATAATACCACAAGGATATGGGATAGCTGAAATACCCGAAAACAAGGTTGTGACGAGACCTTGGAGAAGCCTGGTTGCTCACCTGTTACCTTTGGACTATGGATCCATGTTAAAACCCTTCTTTTCCCCTGCAGAAAAGGCTTATTCGTGCCTTTCTGCCCAGCGGTCGGACCACCTGGGAACTGGAGTGTGTCTGCAATTAACCTCCCATAAGCTGCGGTTAACCGCAGCTTAATTGCCGAATGCTGGGTGGCCGCCATTCATATACTGAACACGAGGTCGCGGCCATTTTACACACGCGAACGAACAGCGGTGTTCAACGCCCAACTCATGGAACTGAAAACGGATACATTTTGGCGCAAACACCGCTGAAGCCGCCGACCTCCCTTCTTGATCGGTAGACGTGCACGAACGGCCCTATATTCGGTAGTTGTACCTGAATACGCCATACCCCAGATAGGAATCCCGTGGAGCTCATTCGTATGAAAACTGACTTTGTGAACACTTTGGCCTCACGGCGATTGGACTGTGTGCATAGGATCTGAGCGCTATTCGGTACTTTGGTGCGCTCAGATCCTAGCTATCTGGGGACCTGTTGAATGCCTGTAAAATGTGGTAAAATATAACAGTTATGTATTTTTAAGTCTTTTTGTTATTGTCACATAAAATGGCGTTTGGGCTCTGTCCTGGGAGATAATTGAATTACTTCACAGTTATCTCCCTGAGCAGAGCAGAGGGTTCTGGGTAAGAAAAGGGGAATGGCTAAGTGTGTACCCTGTGATTGGTTGCTACGATGTCTTTGTCACAGTCTCCCATTTGGTCCCCTAGGGGAGTGTCCACCAGGTGGGAGACCTGCATAAATACTGGGCAGGTAGCCCTCATTAAACAGACCACTGCTTGACCCTCAACACGGTGCTCTGTCTCATTCTTGGGGGGGATTTACTGTATGCTGATAGAGACTGATTGCTAGGAGTGTAAGCCGCTTGGGTGCTTTTCTTATTTGTCTGCTTGCAGCTATTCATGAGGTTCCAGTTCAGGAGTTTAGAGTGCTATTTTCTATGCAGTTCGGGAGTTTGGAGCATTCCCTTATATGCGGTTTGGGAGTTTGGTGTTCTGCAGTAGCTGTGCCTGTATCTCTGGAAGGGGAAGATCTTCTAAACAGCAGTTTAACCTTCTTATGCTGAGGGTGCCGTTACAAAGGTCAAAGTTGTTATTGTTTAGCTTGGTTAGCTTTTAAGAGGCAGCTATGACATGTCTGAGCTGATATAACAACAAATGTTGATTGTGATAATGTAAATAAATAGCGATGTCCCGAACGGTTCGCCGAACGGTTCGCCGAACGGTTCGCGAACGGTTCGCCACGAACGGTTCGCCACGGACTCATCATTGAGTAAACTTTGACCCTGTACCTCACAGTCAGCAGACACATTCCAGCCAATCAACAGCAGACCCTCCCTCCCAGACCCTCCCACCTCCTGGACAGCATCCATTTTACATTCATTGTGAAGCTGCATTCTTAGTGAGCAGTCCAGGAGGTGGGAGGGTCTGGGAGGGAGGGTCTGCTGCTGATTGGCTGGAATGTGTCTGCTGACTGTGAGGTACAGGATCAAAGTTTACTCAATGATGAGTCCGTGGCGAACCATTCGTGGCGAACTGTTCGCGAACCATTCGGCGAACCGTTCGGGACATCACTATAAATAAATGTTTAAAAATAGACACATGTATTAAAAAAATAAAAAAATTCTATAAAAACTTTTCTATAATTCATGTCCACACTAGAACCACAGAGCCTCTGCCTCCATAAAGGATTCAGGCAGACAGAGGCCCTGCTTAGAGGTTATGCAAAATCGGTTGATAGAAGGACTTCTACCATTTACTGCTGTAAGAAAATGTCTCTTATGTGCCTTTGCCGGTTGTTGTTGGAATGTATCCTTGCCACTTTTTGTTTGTATCCCACTCCTGTTCTTGAAAATACAATAAAATACAAATTGTAAAAAATAAAAAAAATCTCAGCTGCTGTCTCACTAAAATGTGCTACCTTCCATAACACATCACACAGTAAAAAAAACAATAAGAAAATTATAGTGAAGAGCTTATTGAGTGATTAAGTGAATACTAGTACAAATCACACTTAATACCTTAAGTGCTACATATGGCGTTTGGAACCATAATATTCTTCAAGAAATTAAATAAGAACTAATAGTCTAAACAATTTTTAAATATATTTTTGTGCAAGAGTGACAATGGAACACTCACATATTTTAGAGCTATCACACCCAGCTCTGGTATTAATAGCCACAGAGTCTGTAGAGGCAACCCTTCCCCTTTCTGGACCACTTGTCACCTCAATTTATCTTATGGAACGACATAATGGAGCATTGTGCAGGTATCTCTGTATTGTGCCCACCTATGGATATTGTGTGGGTATCTCTGTATTGCGCCCAGCGCTGAATATTGTGTGGGTATCTCTGTATTGTGCCAACCTATGAATATTGTGTGGGTATTTCTGTATTGTGCCCAGCTCCAAGTATTGTTTTGGTATCTCTGTATTGTGTCCAACTCTGAGTATTTTGTGGGTATCTCTGTATTGTGCCCAATTTCATAAACATAAAAAAATAAGTTTCTCCCAATGTGTTACCTTGAAGGGAGGGAGGAGATGTTTATCTCTACTGATCAGGTACCTAGCATTAGACTTCTCTGGGCATCTAAGGGAGATAGTT